CACCAGTAAACTCCCGATTCATCCAGATCACGCTCAGGTGAGAGCTGCACCAGGGAGTTGGGGACTTACTCAGCACCTTTACAATCATCTACCTCTCTACACACATCCAACCAGAAATGCCTATCTGTGATTGGCCACCTGTTATCTCATAGTGCATAACCTGTAAGAAGAGTTTCCTGGCCAAGGGAGGTGGCCACCCAAGTTCTCTCGAGGCAACTTCCAATATGCTGGACTTCTCAAAAAAGCTCTAGGTTATGAAATGTGACCCCATGGAACACGTGCCACAGGATTCCAGTGTTAATTTTTTTAAAAAATCTTTTCATTGAGCAAGCACATCATATTATAATCTTCATGTGGTACAAAAATGACATTTCATTATCCTACATGCAAAAAGTAAGATGCTGAATGGGAATCTAGATTAAACAAAACATATTTTCACTGCAGAAGAGATCAAGACGCCAACACCCCACTAGCAATGCTTTATCTGCTTTATTCACATAAGTAAGTGCCCAGAAGGTCCTTTTGGTTTAGAAGTTTTTTGGGGAAAAGGAGGGAGAGAGCAGGTTTTTAAGAGCAGTTGCTCTAAACATTTTAAAAGCTTTTATATGACTGGCAAGAACATTCATTTCATCAGTGCAACAGAAAAACTGATTACACCACTCTGTTGACTTATTTTTCAAAATAAGGAGGTGAAACTGAAAGGGGTTGGGTTGGGTTTGACTTGAATCAATAGCATTCCCTGCCTAGCTTCATGGAAACAACACAATCTTTTCTTCAGTGAAAAGAGGTCCGTAATAGAGGAGATGAACGAAGCTGCACTATTGTAGTATATACCCTTTCCCATGTTAACCAAGCTAGTCCCCTAACACTTCCGATTCTGGAAACTGCTACTTCTCCTCTTTCCAAGGATCCTTTTACACATTTCTGTGCATATTTGTGTGTGTGTGTGTGTGTGTGTAACCGCTCAACTTCAAAATGAGCCCTGGTATCACAATGGTTAAGAAAACCTGGTTGCTAGCGTAAAGGCTGGGAGTTCAACCCCACCAGCAGCTCCACAGGTGAAAGGTGAGGTAGTCTGTTCCCATAAAGATCCTTTTTTTTTTCTTTGTTGTGTCCCGTCTAGTCAGATCCAACTGGCACAGAAGGAGAATGCCCATCCTTCTCCAACACAGCGTCTGATAGATTCGAACTGTGTATTCAGGGTTGCAGTGTAGCTTCTTGCCTCTTGGCCATGAGAGCTCCCTTTGGTCTCAAAGATTTTCAGTCTTGAAAACCCTGCAGAGCAGTTCTCCTCTGTCCTATAGGAGTGTTATGCTGTTACTGTTGTTTGGTATCATATTACCAAGTCAGAACTGACATGTAGTTGACCATTCATCAGGTTCCAGGTTCCGGGAGGAAGTAAATCGCCCAAGATGAGACTGCCCATCTTTCTCTCAAGGAGCAACTGGTGGATTCAAACCATGTGCTTTGGGGGGGGGGGTGTTCACAGTGTAATTCCTTAGCACGAGGCACCATGACTTGAAATCAAATCGCCCAGATAGCAATAGATTGGGTTCTAACTTCCAAATCTCTGTACTATGGACACTATAGAAAGAATGCATTTATTATTCTATAACTGTGTCCAGTTCAGAAACTAAATATTTTTAAACAAAACATTTGAGGGAAGGGGGGAACCCATAAACTGGCTGATTTCTCAACCCAACTCGACAGGAACACTGGAACAACTTCCTAGCATGAGGAAGGACACAGAGAAGGAGCCCACTCAGATCTACACCGGGCATCAATCACAGACGTCCGGTTCTGACACAGCCCATATATACAGCTCAGCTTATCCATCCCAAACATGTCTCCAACACCAGCCTCGTGGATGTAATCATCGTACAGAACACAGCAGAATCGAAAAGGTTTCCCTCTGAGGGTCAAAGAAAGAAGAAATCAAAGTTTCTGCTGAACAGCTAGAGAATATAAAATAAACAAAATATTAACCCCGTGGAGTCACATACGTTACATTTTATTTGAGACACATTCTCAATGGTAGAGATAAATAGCACATATCCAGATGAATTACGCTGGGGTTTGCTCTAAGGTGTAGGAGATGATGAGGGAGAGACAAAGGTTGGTCTGATAACTGTTGGTGCTGATAAGGCGTCGGCATACACTTTTTATTTTCTATTCATTTCTCTACTTTAATTCTACATAATAGAATATGAGAAGATGTAAGAGACTAGATAACACTGTGTCTGGTAGCATTTCGGTTTTGCACTTGGAAGACATTACTGAGACACTAACTAACCCTGTCTGGGAATCCCACACACATGCCAGATGATTACGTACTGCTGAAAGACTAAAAGCCACTGTTTCAGATCCGATCAGGACAGATCGATGGCTGGGCTGGGTTTCCGAAAACGTCCCCCATCACAGCCATCCTGCAGGCTGGAGAGAAGCTGAAAACTCAAATACAACTGAAGTTGGTGAGTCACAAAACAACTACGGAATGGGATTTTGAGTAAGACCTCAAGAGGAGGACCCTAATCCCAAACCTAAACCATTTTTATCCCGGTTATCAAACAGATAAACATTTACAAGGCTGTGGGGAGGCAGAAGAGGGGGTTCCAAAGCGACTCATGGCCATGGCGATGGCCCTAGCAGGTGGAAGGTCCCGGCCCGGGGGTACAGACGGGGACCTGGCCGTCTCTGGAGGCCTGGACCCGCCACGCACGGGCGCCCTCACTCCATTTCCATGGTGGCCCCGCGGAGAGGAGGTGGCCGGTCTGCCGAACGCAGGTGGCAGTGGCCGAGTGTGGCTCGGGGGCGCCCCCTGAGGTCCAGCGGCGTCACGGCACCCTCGGAAACCTGGCACCTCCAGAAGGCTCTGGCGCGTTTACTTCGCCGGGCTGGCGAGGCTGCTGCATCCTGTGGGGCTGCACCCTGTGCAGCTGCATGTGGCCAAACCCAAGCCCTCCTGCCCGCACATCACAGGTTCACCCCTTCCCTTGGCCAACGCTGCCCTCCCCCGACTCTGCTTCCAGAGTGGCGAAAGAGCTATTTATTTACCTCACTGACTGAGAAAGGAAAGAAAAGGTGGAAAGGGGAAAAAAAAATAGGCAAAGCCCTACCAAGTAGCGACCCATTTTGGATTTCGAGGTTGCTCTGACACCAGCAAAGAGGAAATAACGGCTGGCCCGCTGACTGGGACCCCCAGGCGCAGGAAAAGACAAGATAACCATGGAAATCTCCTATTTCACAAGGCTGCCCTGCACTGCCTCCCACTGCTCCCCATCAGATCTAGGTCCTTGGAGAGCTGGACCCCTGGGCACCTGCCCCCTCCCCCCATCCGACCAATCCACAGGAAGGGGAACAGCCTAGAAGAGGTAGATGTTCAATACAAATACTTGGAAGATGTTCTTTAGTTGGTTCTCAGAGGAAATGGCCCAACCGCCCTTGTCCCCCTGGGGGCAGGTCCCTGGTGGACACAGGACCTCCTTTCGGCCTCTTGCTTGGGATTCGGAGCTATATGGCAGGAGATCCGCACGGGGTACAGAAGGATGTGCAGAGGGTGCACAGCAAAGAGGGTGTTTAAGAAAAGCGGTGCTTTGAGGGATCCCCTTCTCTCTACCCCTTGGAACCACCGGAGCCCGCAAAGGTCTGCACGCAGTGAGTCCCCGAGGGCAGCCCCAGTACCCTGCTCTGGGGCACACGAAGGGGCTGGGGGACTCGCTGCACCAAAATCCGGTGGCAGAGAGGCTGCTGTAACTAGGAAGAATGCAAACACTGGGGACATACTCTTTTTTTTCTCTCTCTCCTTGGCTCAGATACCCACCACTCAGGACGCAGGTAGATGAGAGAGCAGAAAACGGGGGTGGGAGGGATCTGTCCTTAAGGAGTAAGAGCTGAAAGCCTCTCCAGGCTAGGACAGAAGACTCAGCCTCCATACCCAAGAAGGGAACTTGATTGTATGGACCAAGCTCGAGGCTGTAGCCCCCGAGCCTCCAACAGGGGAAGGGGAGGTGGCCGGTCCCTGCCTTCCGGAAGGCAGATGAGGGAGTCTGCCCGCGCAGGGCTGGAAGCCGAGGGTCGCCCGGCTGCACAACGCTACGTGCAGTGATTTACTCCCATCATCCATGCCCAACGTTATTCTTCTCTCAGCCTAGCTAGAAACGAGCGGGTCTGGGTCCGCCACGCGCGAACAGCCTGCAAAAGGGCAAAGATGAAGGTAGACAGGGCGCGCGAGAGACGGGAAAAATCCGCCCTGGCGCGAGCAACATCCCCGCCGCCGACCCGCCCCCCGCACCCCGACCCGGGCCACTGCACCCGGCTGAGTTTCCCAGAGAACCAGCAGCTTCCCAACCTCAGGCTCCCAGCCTGCTCGCTGTGCCCAGGCCCCCGCGCCCCAGGAGGCTGCTTAAGCCCTCTACGGGGGAGCGCGCCCGGCCCCCCGAGACCGGAACGCAGGCTGCTCCCCACGTCCCTAACCCCTCCACGGCCACCTCGTTTCCATCCTCTAAACACCAGCCTCACCAAGGAGTCAGGAAACAGCAAAGCGAGCCCCCCACCCGACCTCTCCCAAACCCCCGCCCAAGAGAAGGGGTGCACCCCGACATCCCCCCTAAAAGCTACAAAACCATCCACCCCGCGGCCCCAGCCCTCCCAAACGCCCCGCAGCGCCGATCTCCCAATCCGTGGCAGATCAGCAGAGCGAGTCCCTTTTCTCTCAGCTCCAGCCCCCCCCCCCCCAGTTCGTCCAAACCCGAGAAAGCAGACGCCTCACAACCCCCGAACCGTCCCCGGCCGGCCCTTGTGTCCACTCTCTCCCCAGTCGCCCGCCTCCCTCAAACGCCGCCGGGAGCCGAAGGGTTCCTCGTCCCTTCCAGCGGCGCTGGTCACCCTCCACCCTCCACTCCCGGGTCCCCGGGACCGGCGCCCAAGCTCTGCGCCCGGCGACAACTCCGCATCCCCAGCGCGTCGGCTGGGGCTGCGTCCCCTCCGCGGCCAGCACTCACCCGGGAAGCATACAACATAATGGAGCACAGAACTGGTGATTTTCAGGAACAAAATCCACCAACACGGTTCCAGTAACCTCCGCATGTCCGAAAACGCACATCGAAAAGAGGAAGGCAGGGGGATAAACTTGTTGAATAAGTTCTAGATTCCTACGTGAGCCTAGGCGAAGCCCGGGCGCTTCCCCGGCTGGTCCGCTCCACTGGCCCCCCGCGCTGGGCAGCCCGAGTCCCCCAGACAACCAGGAAGCTGCCAAGCGCCCCCCGGAAAATCTCAAAAAAGTAACCAGGAAAGCGGAGCCACGCTGGGGACGATCCTCCGGGGCGCAGAAGGGCTGCTCGCCGTTCAGAAAGCAGCGAGAAGACCAGGCAGGGCGGGCGGGCGGCGGGCGGCGGCGATGCCCCGCGTTCGGGGCGGGCAGGGGCTGCAGGCGGCGGCGAGCAGCCGAGGATCCCCAACTTGAGTCGGCAGCGCAGCGGCGCCCGAGGAGCGGCTGGCGGCGGGGCTGCGCGCGGCACGGCGTCTCCCGGCTTCAGGCAGGCAGCTCCTTCCAGGGCCCGGGGAAGGAAGGAGGCATGTTTGCGATCGGGGAAGGGGAGGGAAGCGGCGGTGGAAGCGAGGAGCCCCCAAAAATAGAAGCGGCCGGAGGAAACGGAGGCAAACACAAAGGATCTCAGAGGGGCGCAGGGGCGAGGGCGCCTTCAGTCCATGCTCCTGAAAGTTGTGGCTCGGGCGCAGGCTGGGGAGGATCGGGGAGCGCGGGGCTGGAAACTGGCCATGCCTCCATACAGGAAGTAACATGTGAGCATGGATCCTGGCACAGACTTTAAAGCCGGCGAGCGAACGAGCGAGCAGGGGGCGAGCGGCGGCGGCGGGG